GTTTCACCTGTTAAATCTCGAAACACACTAAAAAACGAGGAACCTAGCGTAAAACCAACCTTTTAGGAGTGAATTTGGCACAAATACATTAGTAAAATGGGGGCAAAACATGTACAATTAGGCCTGAATCATAAGCTTAGGTGTATAAAGGTAAATATTTTCCGAATGAGACTTTCCTAACTGCTACTACTTGCTCTCGCCTGTCTTGGGGCTGGCAAAGTATTCTCTATGGTCGGGAGTTGCTGGGAAAGGGACTTTGATGGCAGATAGGTAATGGTAAAACAACTTCTTTGCTGCATTCCAATTGGATTCCCCAGTTACATCCCCATGCCCTATTATATAACCCCAGGGTTTTACCTGAGGGTGTCGACCTGCAGGTAGCGGCGGTCCTTAGCCAAGGGGAGGGGAACTGGTGTGATGAGAAACTTAGCAATTGTTTGACCCAGGAACCTGGAAGGCCATCAAACAAATACCTCTTCCCCCCGGGAGATTGAGGATTGATTTATCTTGCATGTTACACTTGATGGAATCTTAACTGTGAAATCAGCATATCATTTTGTCGTTTTGTTAGATAAATAGGAAGGTCGTTGGAGGTTAATGGCTAGTTGAATGGATAGAGCTAGCTGGATTCGGATGTAGGAAGCCAGTATTCCTTTAAGCTCAAAGTGTTGGTTTGGCAAATTTTCAACCATATCCTGCCAACGACGGAAGCCCTTATTGAGAAAGAGGTTGCGGTACTTCTCATATGTCTGGTTTATTGGGTTGAATCATAGACAATGGATCATTTGTTTCTTGATTATCCAGTGGCTAGGGTTTTATGGGATCATTCAAACTTTGAGGATCTAGGTCAAGGGCTGCCCCGACACACTTTCCTTCTCTTCCTCAAGAAGTTGGTGTTGCGCATTAATCATCCCCATCTCTTCATGAAGGTTTTGGCAGTCCTTTAGCAGATCTGGCAATCTCGAAACTAAGCAGTCTTTGAGGGCAAGCAGTTCCAGATCCCTGCCCTAATGCGACAATTCAACCAGCAGTACCAGAAATGTATTAGTTTGCCAGTAGACTATGGTCCATCAGTGTCCATCAGGCTACCACAACAGTTGGGTATGGTGCGTACTAATTCGGTGGTTTGTATGTGGGATGGGGTGAGTTTGAGATGGAGGGTAGGTGTTGGGTTGATCGTAACTAGGCATGGCAACTAAAACCACGATCGTGGGTATCCAACCACCCCGACCCAATCAATATGGCAATTGTGGGGCGGGTATGCGTATGGGTATGGTTATGATGCTAGAGAGCCTAAAACTGTATCCACTCCATCCTCACCTTTTTTTTTGCGATTTTTACCTAAAATTTAATGTTTGGATGCTAAAAATAGTGATTATCTTATGAACTAATATATGTTACAAAAATGGGTGTTTTGAATTTGAATTAATAACTATTATGTTTTTGTGGACTTCATGGTTTAGCTCTATTTGATGTTATAATCTAAAATTTATAGGTTTAGTTAGTTTTATTGTCTTAATTCTCGGCATAATACTATTGGATATATACGAGGTGAGTATTACCACTGATACCTGAAAATCACGGATATGGGGATGGAGTTTCAAAACCTCTCTTCAAATGGATATGGGGCGAGTACGAGTTTTGGTTTAAGAAAATGAGGATGGAGATGGTTTAGGAAAATCCGCCTCATTTCCATTCAACACCGGATTAGAGGAGTCATTTCCATTAGTAGACATGATTACAAGAAGTAGAATGAAGTGGAACAAAAATTAGAATTTAGGGTTTGGTCGTGTGGCTGTGATGGTTGTGATAACATATTAAGTTTGACTGTGGAGAGTATTTTTAAGTCATAAAGGAGATATATACAATTGTATAATACAACAGAAAATGAGTAAACATTAGTCGCATACATTAAAAGAATTATATGGTATAACTACACCTTCTTTCTAACACTAGGGTGTATCCGTTATATGGGATTTTTTATTATTATTTATGTTTATAGTTGAAAGATTTAAGGTCAAAATATAGCAAATAAATCATAATTTACGGTCATACACCCAATTTAAATTAGTCACAATAGTGTATGAGTGAATTTCTTCAAGGCAAGCTAGCTTAGTGTTACGGTGTAAGTAGATCATTTACATTAATAACTTATAACTATTTTGTTGAGAATTTTATTTGACAAATTAACCTATAATAGATAAATGTTTCATGAAATGCATTAAGATAAAAAGTACTTCTCGAATAATAAACTACAATTTTATAAATGAATAAAATATCCAATTAATCATTATAATTATTGATAAATGTAACTGATAAACCAAACTAATCCGGCCAACGGGCCGGATACAAAGCTAGTTACTACTAATACGAGTAACAAGCCAAAGACGCGCGTATAATATAAAGATAACCCACATCAGTACTACACAATAGATACCAAAGAGAAAGCAACTAATAGGGATCACTACTAATCATAGAAATTGTGTAGAGATTATTCATCTCGACAGATTAATACATTATGGATTTCTTTGGGTGAGCAACAAGAGTGATCTTTTTTTATTTATTTGATAACCCAGGAACATCAGCAACCCATATGGCACATGAGTGACGGCAAGGCTTACTAAATCTGGGCGGTACCTGTATACTAACCATCAAGGATTTTGTCTCGGCGCAGTGTTATCGTTATCGGGGAGACTTCATCTCCTGTACCAAGTGTGCCTCTGGGAACACCAATAAGGTGGTACTTAGATTCAAACATGGGACCTTGTCACATCCCAAACTCAAAACCCATCCCTTTTACCAAATAGGATGTCTTACCATCGGCAAAAGTGATCATTCTTAAAACAAATAGTTCACCCAAAAACCACTACATCACCATAAAATGACGAATGATCTAATGATCAGGAGGAAAATTGAAGAAATAAAATTATAGATATTTTTTTAAAATAAAATTATATTTCTTACTTTAGTAGAAAGATATATTTTATTAAATAATGATGATTTCCAATTTATTATATTTAAAAATAATAATTTAAACAAACAAGTCGTAACATAAATTCCTCAATTATGCAATAGGGCCCGGCCCATATGATACATTGCACGGACTGCTACGGAACATATGCTATAAAGCAATCCCACCTAGGCTGCAAATAAGCTGAGTCAAGTCGACTTTTACCCCAGTTTGAACTCGGCTCGTTTAGGTCGAGCAAGCTTGTTTACTAATATCTTGATTTTTATTTGATACTTCATTTTGTATATCATGATACATATGATTTATTCTGTTAGCTAATCTCATATTATACTTTATTGATATCATATATCATTTAGTTGATAAATTTTAACTACTCCAAATCATATTATTTTATAGTATCGAAGCAATCTATGATACATAATAGAAAATATGATATATTTGCTCACATACTCAACGTGTTAAACTTTATATATGGCGAGATATATAATTTAACAACCATATGATATACTAAACTCACATACTCCAAATCACATGCTCACATACTTTGGTAATCGAGTTGGCTCTCTAGCCACATGTTGAGATATATCATGAGTTCTAAACGAGTCAGCTCACGAGTTAGCTCAACAAGCCACCAAGTCGAACTATCTCGCAAGCTTCACGAGCGGAACAAAACATAACTCATGTTCAGCTCATTTATTAACAAACCGAGTTTCGAACGAGCTTTTCTCGAGTCAAATGCCGAGAAACAACTCAACTCATTTGCGCCATTCATTATCACCCGTATATCCAGACTCCAGTACAGATCTGAAAAGGGGAAGTCTTTTTATCATGTTGGGTAATAGTAAGACAATGGATGACCCATTATCCATCCCATCAAAACCCTAATTTCATGTGACCACACACCATGTATCGGCCCGGCCCATCAGCTAGGTGTCATCGCAGGAGCACATATCTATGAGGAGAAAAGGTTAACGAAAAAATTATGTAAATTATTAGTAGGACTTTGCTACGATAACATGCATGTAACTTGCACTTTTAGTTTGACCTCATATATAATTAAGTCGACCTAATCTGTCGTTTCAGTCTTGTGCTAGAAGGCAGCTTACTTCGTAGCAATTTCGAGCATTTTGTTTGAATCCTTCCAGATATCCAATATGTCATCCAATGCCTTGACTTTGTAGACAAACATACCTACTTTCATGTGGTAGAGGCCCCTGGACTCGAATCTCATCCATGCTTCTCGAATTGAGCTCCAAAGCAGACTTCACAAACACTTTCCCACACTAAGCCATTTCAGGCAGTTTCCCAGTTTTGGCATAGCCTTTTGATCAGGTTCAAAAGTGGTCTTCTGTACTTCCTATCGAGCTTCCAAGCACTTCTATATTTAGAGGGACACTCCAGATTCTAAACAAGCCATTAATCTCCAATTTCCATCGAGCTAATTGTAAGATATGAATATTTAAAGTAGGAACCATGAAACTGTTTTTACAACATATTAGGTCGACCTAATCCTAACTAAGGTCGACCGAAAAGTGCAAGTTATTGTTGCATGCATGTCACCATAGACGCACCCTATTATTATATAAACGTAAAATGAGGTTACGGTTGCATAAACAGTTACACTTTGATACCCCAAATATAATTAAATTACAACTTAGTCACTATAATGTAATTTTACATTTTGATAACCCACATTTATTTTTAATATAAATCATTGAACAATTATGTTTTGGTATCTAAATTTTATGAGATTTTCGTACCTCCAATTTTTTAAATTTACATATTGGTCCAATGTTTAGATTCTGGTTAATTGCAAGGATGGTCATTGGGTTTACTAAAAATGTTCATGTTTGGTCACCGCAAATATTTAATTCTATTCATGGTCACTAAGATTAGTTCAATAGTTCAACTTTGGTCACTCTCCGTTAGTCTCCGTTAATTTTTGCTGATGTGGCAGTCAACTATTATAGTTGACCGTTAAATGAGTGACGTGGCCATTAAAAAAATTTAAATATTTACAATTTCCACCTCATTTTACAACTATTAAAAATAAAAATAAACTTGATAAATGGTCTCCGCCATCTACGCCTATGTCATTAACATCTACGCCTAGTCCCTTCAAGCTCCGCCCACCAGCGGTGTGATACTGATGCCGTTGCTGATCCTCGTATGGGTACTCGACGGTCCGGCTCACTGCGGGAAAGAGGTTTTCGATCACCCTAATCTTCCAGTTCGGGTTTCCCAGGTCAGGAGCGAACCGGAAGATCTCCGGCGCGCAATGGCTTTCGTTGCTGATGCAAAATGGGCACGAATTGTCGCTGGAGGAGTTTGGATCTGGGTTCTCTGGGGATTTGGATTTGAAATCGTAAAGCCGCTTGGCTCTTGCGGGCGAGAATATGACCCACCGATTTGAAACCGGGTCGTGTCTCAGCTCTGGGCTCCGACCTGTTGGTGTCGCCATCACGCCATGGCTCTTCTCTTCCTTCGTCCAGCAACGGAGGTCTCGCATTTTCAGGAAGCAGGAGGATTCGTATCTACTCGTATAGCGTATTCCTCAAGTGATTCAGACATTCGGTAAGAAATTGACATTCGCCATCTACGCCTAAGTCATTAACAGCTCTCTCTTTCTCTTACAATTTTTATTTTATAATAGTTGTAAAATGAGGTGAAAATTATAAATATTTAAATTTTGTTATTTTAATATTTTTTAATGACCACATCACTCATTTAACGGTCAACTATAATAGTTGACTGCCACATCAGCAAAAACTAACAGAGAGTGACCAAAGTTAAACTATTGAACTAATCTTAGTGACCATGAATGGAATTAAATATTTGTAGTGACCAAACATGAACGTTTTTAGTAAACCCAGTGACCATCCTTGCAATTAACCCGTTTAAATTCACTTAAATCCATGAATCAATCCACCAATCCTTTTGAACCAATCCATGAATCCAATCCACCATAACATAAAAGTATAAATTTAGTTTGTACCATATACAAGATGTTGTATCATTCAATTGTAGGAGAAGATTCGATCATTTTATATTTGCTTATTACGGGATACACTAAATAAATGATAAGAGAGAGACGGCTCTAAAATATTGCAAGAGCGAATTTATAAACTCATATAGTACATTTATGGGTTACTAAACAAACTTCTACTAACTATATGTAACAAAATATGCGACATCTACATAAGGAAGTGTCAATAAATTGCTACGATGAAAAGGTTAATTGTTGTATTGACGGCCAACTAAAATAATTGGTCAAAACCTTTCCATCATCTACTTCCTCTTCATTTCATTTTTCACTAACCTTCTATGAACCTCTGTTTATTTCTTTCTTTGCCTTCTTCGTCTAACCGTAATTAGTATACTATTTTTATGGTAAATGCCACATTTGGTCATTGGAATTTTTAGATGTCAAAACAGAACCCGATCCGACTAACCTGCCTGACTAACCCAACCCGTTACACAATCGCAACCCAAACTGACTAAAAGTCCATGACATGCAACCCGCAACCCGTCCAACCCACAACCCGATTGACCCGTGACTCGATTAACCCATAACCTGATTGACCCTCAACCCGATTAACTCGAACCCGATTGACCCGCAACCCGATTTAACTAGTAACCCGATTGACCCGAATCCGATTGGCCCAAACCCGTAACCCGCCCGATTTACTCGAATAATTACTATATTTTATATATTATATTAAATATCAAAATGAAGTTTGTTTGTTGTAAGACTAAGTAAAACTATTTTTTCATTTTATAGAGGAAAGTTCAAAAAATGATATTGTGTTGCAATTATGTATTTTTAATAAAAGAAAGAAAAAAAGAAATAAGCGGGAGTTTTGATGCTTTGGTTTATAGGAAGAGAAAGAAGAGGGAAATTTTGGTGCTTAAATTTTTAGGAAAAGAAAGAACGGAGAGTTTTGGCGTTTTGGTTTATAGGAAGAGAAAGAAGTGGAAAATATTGGTGTTGTTAACTTTTTGGAGAAAAAAGAATGGAAAATTTGGTGTTTCATGTTTTGAGAAAAGAAAGAATGGGGAATTTTGGTGCTTTGGTATATAGGAAGAAAACGTGGTGAAATTTTTTTATGTTTTCAACTTTTTGAGGAAAAAAGTAGGGAAATTTGGTGGTTCAAGTTTTGGGAAAAGAAAGAAGAGGAAGTTTTTGTGCTTTTAATTTATAGGAAGAGAAAAGGGTGAGAAATTTTGATGTTTTTTATTTATGGAAAGAAAAGTAAGAGGGAAAGTTTGTATTTTCATTTTTTGAAGAGAAAGAAGCGAGAAAGCTTATCACAAAGTTTAATATATGATGGTTTACAAGTTTAATTAATTATCGATTTGATTATCACAATGTTGACATATGATAATTTCAGAGTGTAATATTTAGTGCCTAAAATATTGTCTATACTCTATAACAAACCTTAGTATAGCTTATAGGCATGACTAATTTGATTTAGTAGATTTGAGAAAATTCAAAGAGTTATATTGACCCCCAACTTCTTCATTCCCGCTGCAAAAGGCCACCCAATTTTTTTTGGATTGATTTATTGCCCAATTATCATTTGGAAAAATCTATATTACCGCCCAAAAATATTGAGATAAGAAAAAGAATTTTTCTTCTCTGTTTTTAGAGTGGTGTTTCGTTTCGTTTGCTAATAAAATGGTGAAAAGTACTTTAAATTAGTGTAATAAAATGTGTAAGTTGGTATCAAGTATGGAGTAAGTAACTTGATGTGTTGTCCGGAACAACCCGCAACTCGATCAGCCCCAACCAGCCCGACGCGAAACCCGATGAACCCGCAACCCGATTTATCCACAACCCGATTGAACCCGAACCCAATGAACCCGCATCCTGACTAACCCGCAGCCTGATTGAACCCGAACCGATGAACCCGCAACCCGACGAACCCGAAACCCGACTAACCCGCAACCCGATTGAACCCGCCCGAACCCGCCTAATTGACACCTATACTGGAATTACTAAATCGTGTTATGCTTTGTCACTAGAAAAAATTAATATCATTTTAGGTCATTCGAATTACTAAAAACATGTCACATTTCGTCATTCTCCCGTTAGCCTCCGTCCAACTCCGGTCACTCAAATTACTTTTTTTTATGAATTTCACTCGCATCACTGAAACATGTCCCATTTCGTCATTCTGTGTTACCCTCCGTCCAACTCTATTAATACATCCCAGGCAGACGTCGGTTGGGCTTGGGGAGTCCTAGGGTTGGCTTTTAGACTAGTAGCACTTCATTTCTGTTGTTGCGCTTGTTTCTTTTTGTTATTGGTAGGTGACTCCTCCAAAGTCGCCTCTTTCACCTTTGATTGCGTAGAGTTTGATTTTTTTCCGTTTATGCTCAATGATATCTACTTTCTCTTTTGATTCATTTGTAGTTGTTCCTCCCGTAATAATGGGCTTTCCTTTTATAGATGCTTTGATGATTGAAAGGCCTGATTCCGCGCTCGGGAGCACAGGAGAATTGTGTAGCAGGCCAGAGTTAGCATTGGCTTTCCTAATCTGTTTTTCAGATATTTTAGTCACATACATCGAGGAGCCATAGTCTGGTGGCGATTGTGCGACGGAGCTTTCTGATGGTGGTTGGATTGGTAATCTTGGGTTGGCCGGCCCGTTTGTATGCTTGCATGGGCTTGTATGACTTGGTACGTAAATCACCTAAGCATCAAGGATAAGTCACTAGCTTAGGTGATAATGATTAAGTATAAAGGGAGATAAGGACGAGGAGTCTGGTGGTTTTGGGGAGACTAGCTTACAGCTAGCTCACAGCTGTAGTTCGTAGGGTTGGAAGAGGAGTTGGTCACTCCTATATATATATATGCACCATCTATTCAGTTTGAATCATTGAATAAGAGAGATATCGCAGTTGGCCGTGGACTAGTCTCAACAATCTAAATGTCAAGGAAACCACGTAAATATTGTTTGTTCTTGTTTTCGTTTGTGTTGTATAACTGTTTGCTCTTGTGTTATCATGGTATAAGAGCCTTCGATGCATTCAGATGGAGTTTCGGTCCGGTTGAACTCCAAAAATTTTACTCTCTAGGAGTTTCAGTTTCAGATCTTCGTACAAGGGAAGGGTCTTGCAGGAATTCTTGATGGGACAGTTAAGAAGCCTTCTGTTCCACCTGCAACAGCGTCGCAGCTCGCACTCTGGGTTCAAAACAATGCCAAGGTAATGACATGGATATTGAATTCAATTGATTCCTCAATTGTCCGTGGACTTCGCTTGCTGCCAGATGCTCATTCTATGTGGAAGCACCTTGCAACAACGTACTCCACCACCAACACGGCGCGGCAATTCGAGTTGGAGTTTGAACTTGATCGTCTCCACCAAGGAGACATTGATGTGATGGCTTACTTCAATGTCGCCCGACTATTGTGGATAGAGCAAGACCTCCTCACCGTGTCGCTACGATCGAAAGAAGCTTCTGAAGAAGTCAAGGAGGAGAGGAATCAATCATGGATGCTGCAGTTCCTGATGAAGCTTCATCCTATGTTCGAGGCTGTTTGTTCTCAGTTGACAACAAAGATGAGCTGAAGATAGATGAATTGCTGGGGAGTCTCATTCGAGAGGAGACTAGGCTGAGAACCCAAACTCAGCTGGACATGAGTCCTGGCGAAGGAGAAGCTGTATTTGCTGCTATCACAGCTGACTCTGGAGCTGGTTTTGGTACAAGCGAGGTGTTTGCAGTCAATCGACCTTAGTTTCAACAGCGTCGCACCCCATCAACAGAACTGAAATGCAATCATTGTCATGTGGTCGGAGACCTCCAAAAACACAGCCAACAGAGAAATATCTGTAACTACTGCAAAGCGCAAGGACACATCATACTGGAGTGTCCTATTCTGAAGGCCAAAGGGAAGGTGCCTCATCCTCCGCGCGCTGAACCACAAGTGAATGCAATTCAGCTTGCTGATTCTGAAGGACCGTTAATGACTCCTGAAGCTGTGGAACGTCTGGTGAACGCAGCGATTCAATGATCGTTAACCACTGCAGTAAACTCTGCCTTTTCTGCCCTTCAGAATACCGGTAAGCTTCATCCTTGGTTACTTGATTTGGCGTGTTTTAATCACATGACAAATGACGTAAACAAATTCAAGAATATGTCTTCGGTGAGTGATATGGATTTAGAAGTTGCTAATGGACAGAACTTAAATGTCGATGGTATTGGTAGTGCGTGTAATTCCATTGTTAAGTTACATCAAACCTTGTATGTCCCTAAACTTGTTCAAAATTTAGTTTCGGTTGGACAGCTCACTGAAAAAGGACATATTGTCGTATTTGCACCATCCGGTTGTTTTGTACAGGATTTGAGGACGGGCGCCAGGTCGGAAGGGGGAGTAAGCGCGGACGAGTGTTTCATTTGGAAGAGTTCTTGCCGTCATCGTTTGTTCTAGAGTCGGTACTCCTAGTTAGTTCTATTACGTCTTCGTTAGTGTCTGCTTCTAGTTCTTTGTCGGCTATTCCTGACTTCTCTAGTACTAGTGATCAGGTTTTTTATCTATGGCATTCACACATAGGTCACCCTCATTTGGAAAAACTTGTAACTATGTTTCGTCAAAGTTTGTTTGGGAATAATAAAATCGGCCACTCTTCCAAATTGTCATGTACTACCTATATTGAAGCCAAATCAATACGTAAATCATTTCCTTTGAGTCAAACCATCTATTCCAAACCATTTCAACTTGTTCATACGGATTTGTGGGGTCCTAGCCCCGTCACGTCTCGTCATGGTTTCAAATACTTCGCTTTGTTCATCGATCAAGCAACTCGTTTGTCTGGGTGTACTTCTTTCGTTTAAAGTCTGAATTGTTAGTTGTTGCCACGGAATTCGTGAAGATGATTTCCACACAATTTGATACTACTATCAACTGCCAGTCTAGCAACCATTCCACCGAGGTCTTCTTCCAAGACTAGCATGCATAGCCGTTCCTTGAAAATGGGTGAAACTTTGAGCTCGGGTTCACCTTCATTAGAGCTTGGCTCCAGATCGTGTTCACCGACAAAAGTCAATTGATTCATCTTGGAGAGCGTTTGTTGAGTCTCTGCGGCAAGCGGCGCTTTGTAGGATTGAGACGCCACGCCGATCAGATTTGTGCAATTGGTATTCATTAGCGAAGATTGCCTAGTGTCAATCGCGAAAAGCATTTATCCAGAAGATATATTACGGATAACCACACCCAAATCATTTTTCACACCTCAGATGCCACATACATACTGTACAAATATTCCTGCCATATATGATATATCATCCAACCTGCATACTTATTCCTAACATATATTGTCCGTACCAGTAGTCTACGTACATAACTCCTCCAACCTCCTCAAAACCCTCTCACTATTAACTTATTATACACGTAAATGATAATTTTACCCCTCCTATTGAAAACAAATTATCTCTTCTGTTTTATATTAGTTTTACATCCGTCTTGCTTGACCCTAATCATACGGAAGGCGAAAGGAGCAAACTTAGCGTCAGCGAGCAAGCTGCGTGCCATTCGATCCCTCCTACCACAAACAGAAACAAAAGAAACGTAATTTCCAAACAATTTTTTATATTAAAGAAATATCCTCAACCTCCCGTTTGGGTTAATTTATTCTTCTAGTTACACATTCATAATAATTTCTCCTAAACAGACCCACGTCCACGTCAGATCACCGCTTTCCCCAAAAAACTACAAAAGCTAGCATTTTCTACCAAATTTCTAACCCACTTGATCTAATGTACGGGTCACTGTCACCACATCCCCCATTAGAATTAAATTATTAGTAATATAAAATTTTGTGATCACACCAGATGGTAAATCCACAAGATAATAACAGGTAAGCTAGTAGGTTCAGACTCAAACCATAGAAGGTCACCTAATTACCCAAGTGGTAAAAGTCATAATTAGCACAATATGCTATTGGAATTCAATTCTCATAGCTTAACATTTTAGGAATAATATTCGTATTCTCGCAATAAATGTAATTACTCATCGCAATACATTTTTCAAAACATTACCACAATTAGGGTAATAATGAAATTATTTACCATTTGGTGAGTATGCAGAAATAACAATAATAATAAAAAAATCTATCGGACAAGACATATAAATCAAAAGTCACCGAAGAGGATAAAAACGGAACGAAAACCCGTAAACGTCATTGTCTTCCAATTTTGTTGGTTCTTAAAGAATTGTCATTTGTCACCTAACTGCAGACTCATCCATCAATCACAGCCCCGTTTCTAATATCTCGTCATCATATGGTATTTTCTTTTTTTCGTCTCTGTATTTTAGTATATAATTAATCCCATCGATTTACGCCTCCTTTCATTAATTCATTCCCTCCCTCAAACACATCGTCTTCACATTGCATTTAAAAAAAAAAACAAAAACATTTCCTACCAGCCGAAAGCGGAGAAAGTAATACAAAGCCAAGCCAAAACCCTACAGCTGTAACAGCTTTGGAAGTTCAACCAACAAACACACACACACTAGATAGATAGAGATAATAATGGCTATGGGGAATAAGAGACCAAGTCAACCACAATCCAGCTCGTCGATATCTCCATTATCCAAGCCCAAGAAGAACAAGTCCAATCTCATCTCCAAAAAGAAGACCAAGAAGAAGGAAGAGAACCTCCGCGCCAAGGCCGCTCTCCACCTTCAACAACAGCAGGAACTAAACCGTGACGGCGATCATCGTCCTATCCTGCGGCCGAAAGTGTACATCACCGATATCTCCAACTTCAAGACCCTTGTCCAGGAGCTCACCGGCAACGGAGCAGTTGATCCGGTGGCCCCGCAGTGGGAGTCCTCTCCATCATCGGAGATATTCGAATCCGAGAGTGAGAGCGTGGATGCGTCGTCGTCATCGGTTGATTCGAGCGTGACGGCGTCCTTTAACCAGGAAGAGATGAACAATTTCCAGCCCTATGGTTACTACGACGACCAGATGGGGTTGTATAGTTTGGAGGAGACCAGATCGAACGATATGCTGGCGTGTCAGGCTGATCTGGAGGCTTTGTTGGAAGATATGGATCAGGAGTTCCCTCTGGTGTTTGAGACCAATTATTCTTCGGAATCTCGTCATCAGATTCATTATCAGCAGTATTATCGTGAGGAGGAGCAGGAAGCTGATCTCAGCATTTACGACTATGATTTTTCCGGGGTCGTATGCGACTGCATGTGAAGTATAGATTGAACATATATAAAAGCTGCTCGATCGATCTCGATTGATCGTAGCGTACGGTACGGTATGGTAGGATGGATGTATATACATCTACTACAGTACACATAGGTTTTGGTTACTCTACTTTCTGTTCATAGTATACTGTTTTCTGGGTGTGAAGAATGTATCCACGCGCGTATACATGTGTATGGCTTCCGGTGCACAATTTTCCTGTGTATATCGTTTTTGTTCTGTGGTCGGAAGCCATGCCACGTCTGTGCAGTATGTGAATGTTCTGTTCTGTGTGTTCAATATGTTTGCAGAAGCACGCTGCTTCCAGGCATCTAAGTATACAATTAACGTTTGGCTGAACATCTACTTCGATTACAATTTATCCTAATCGTGAAGTATGCAAGAGAAGCCTCTCGATTCTTCAATCTTCAGTCTTCACAACAATACGTGGCTGCTGCGGTGGAGGAAGCCTTTGACATGTTGATCCATACCTTCTGTTGTTGTGGGGACAATCCACGTACCACATCGGAAATACAAGGGAGGGAACTCTTGTATATTAGTGTCCACCTAGCCCAATTAGTACGAGGCCTTTTGGGGAGGACACCCAAGAGTAAAACCGTGCGGGCTGGACCCAAAGCGGACAATATCGTACTAATTGAGCATCCCCGATTGCGACACCTTCTCTCGATTTCCATATGATGCACTCTTCAATTTTCGTATCTCATCCTTCTCTCTTCTATCTCTAGCGTGCAATAAGATTGCGGTCTGTTCATAAAGCGGTTAACGGTTTCGTGGCTCGGAATCGCAAACCGCTAGAGGAAAGAAAGAGATCGGACGGTCGCACTTCTGCTTTCTAGCTTGCTAGAGCTGGCCTCACTTCGAGACGGTGGGAGGGAGCTTCGCTGAACATTTCGAGCGGGTCAACGTCATCGACGTCCATCGCCACCGTCGAGCCTTGCACTTCCATCTTCACGAAGTAATCCATCTGCATCGGCCTCATTTCTCCAGTGCTGATCTCCGATCAATCCCTCACACTCTCCTCAAGAGAAAATTCTAGAATCGACAAGTCATCCATGGAAAATACCCCATGCTAAATGGACCTGTTTTTGTGGTATTAATTCCAAAAAATTCAGCTCACCTTGTTACGTTCTCGATACCGCACATCTCCTTTATTAACTGACAAGCTTCTTTGTAAGAATAAAAACACCCTTATCTGATGCTATAACGAGAAACTTGGCAAGCTCTGTTTGGTGGAAGGGAAACAGAGTCACCAGCTCCAGCAGTAGCAATTCTCGATTTTTGGCATGCTTTGTTTTGATGGCTACGCGAACAGTGCCACCAGCTCCAGCAGTAGCGATTCTTGATTCGATTCTCGATTTTGGAATGCTCTGCTTTGGATACGTTGTACAAATCATAATGAATTGTGGTCAAAATGCGGCGTGGTCTAAACCGTACCAAACCGCACAGATAACTTAGCGGTCGATCAAGCGGTGCGGTCCGATTAAGATGTGGTTCGATGCGATCTATATCAATGCAGTGTGATGCGGTCCGAACCGCCCCGATGCCCACCCCTAGTGGATGGTGACTATCCCATATTAGTAGACACCATCAAACCTCTTAGTGGATGGTGTAATAGGGTCGAGCGCGAGACCTAACTTCCTTTGCATTGATAATTCACTATTTCTACAAAAACCCTAATCGAGCAATCGACCAAGTAGGTGAAGAGCAAGAGACAAGAAATAATTATTTTGTGGAAAATAAAATGTAAATTAGTTATGTTTGAAGGAAATAAAACTAAAACAAAACTTTGTTTAATCCGAACTCACAATGGGATTTAAGCCCAGACGCCTGTAACTAAAAAGCTTGGGCTTAAACCTGGTCAAGCCTACACATTCTGCAGATGGTTCTCTTCTTCCTCGTGTTGCAATCTTCAATTCCCTGTATCCTGCTTTTCCTTGACCCTGAACACACGAACCAGTGAACCAACATACAGAAATGCAGAATCTTAAATAAACTCAACACAAAGACAATTTTGCGTGGTATCCAATATTGGGAGAATCAGGATCTCAATATCGACTAATCCACGGTAGGAAATTCTCCTCAGATATTTCCTACGTAACCACTAGAACGATTTCCTTGTTCCTCTTACAACCTTGGAGGTAGACCTGATCAGCTCCCTGCCTATCAGTATACCTCTCAACCTAATGTTTCAACTCCCCGTTTACACACTCAGACTCTCAAGCTATTCTCCCAGATTAACTACCAGTGTTTTTCAATCAAAAGACTACAATTGCAACTACAACTCTCTGCTTTTGATCTCGTTGAAAAACCCTGCGCTAACTAGTCCTTCCTTTCATCCTATATAGTCTGCTTATCTTGAACTAGCCATTGTAGAGGCTTTTGATTTGATATTCCTAGAATTTGCTATAGCCTTCCTTCTTTGCTTTGTTTGATTTTTCGGGTCTTTCCTTCTTTGTAATTAACAAGCTTTACTTAACAGATGGTGACCATCACACATCATAGATACCATCCCATCAATATGGTGGATGGTATCATCCAAATATCATGGGCACCATCCAAAGGATTAATTAGACGGTGACCATCCCATATCATGGATACCATCCAAAGTACTAGACTGGATGGCACCATCCATGTTGAAATAGGACAAATCTTGGCAACAAAACTTGAAGCTACATCCTGGAGCAAGGGAGACAATCATAACTCAACAGAAAGACAACTAGTCTCAACTGTCCTTTTTTCCTTTTTCTGTGTAGTTTGCGGAGCTCTCCTCCATGAAGGATCCTCCATAACAATAGTCTAAGTTGTAGTCACGGAGCTCTCAGAGCATCTCTATAGGAGTAGTGTAAGGTAACGTAAATTCCCCTCACACCAAACACCCTCGTACGAACAGTGTTTGAAGTGGTCTGGACCGTAGTAACAATCGTAACCTTCATAGAAGTCAAGTGCAACTCATCCATCCATTTTTCCACTGTTAACTGATCCCTAACATCTCTCTCAATATTTGTCTGAATAAAATATTAATTTATCCATCTCTCAGTCTATCCTCTTCAATATCGATCATGTACAAATATGGTGGAAGAAGACGGTTTCACATAGGTGAGTTTTTGGTTTTGCAACTGATTTCACGATTTTAGACCTTCCTCTTCCTTTCTTCTTGATTTTTCCTGTTTTCCACTTAAGTTTTGGTGACTGGCGCAAAACAATGACCATAGATCAATCTCCAGAATCTTTGATCTAAAATTGGAAATTCATCTCCATCAGCGCTTCAGCCAACTTTGCCTTACCCTGACTGGCGCAAAACATTGACCATAGATCAACCTCTATAATCTTTTATCTAAACCTGGAATTCATCTCCATCACCGCTTTGGCCAACTAAACCTGGAATTCATTTTCATCTCCAAAGGAGTAGATTTAGTCGATTACCCGACGGTATATGATTAAGCCCTTAGATTGAATAGAGCAAACCAATTCATCACTGCCATTTTGGGTTAATCTTCGAGCGAGTTGATCTCTTAATGGTAGAATATCGAGTCAATAAATCTAGGGAAGTAATCAACATTGACCATATGAAGGGATTAGTGGGATTCGTGCTTAAGTCAGCTCCAAACTTGTAATTAAGTATTCTTGGTAGTGGTTTGGTTAGTGTAGTTATTTTAGTCTTAATCACTATTCTTGGTTGGATAGACAACGATACCTAAGCCGACGTAAGTTACATCTAGAGACCCGTGGTTCAATAATTTTGTTACATGGTTACCCTATGTTGCACCCGGTCGTGGGTTATACTTGTCCTTCGATTGGGAAGTTGTAGTTAATGCGGGTCAAGTTTTTGGCACCACTGCCGGGGAGCACAGTCTATTATAATTTGGGGGGGGGGGGATGTTACTTAATCTAGAATTTAATTTCTTTCATCTTGAATTTTGATCTTTCTTGTTTTGGCTTTCGTTTGTGTTGTGTGAAGTGTGTGCATGAGGTGTATGACTCAAAGCAACCCGACACCTTTGACACCGCTAGACAAAAACATCAATCGCACTCTCCAAATTCTATCTCCAGAGAGGGAGTTCAGGGAAGCAAGAGAAAGGCTCGAGGTTCGAGGTCAACCTCATGTTGAAACCAAAGTTGAAGTTGAGGAAGAATTTGAAGTGGAGGAGGAAGTTGAGTTTAAAGAAGAGGTAGAAGTTGAAGACCTTGTGATGGCGAACGAAACTGTACAAGGAGTTGACGAAGCAAGGAGTATGGGCTATTATATGAATCAACGGGTGGCAGACATCCAATTGAGCATTCTACACCCATTTGTGGCAGTCAACAACTTTGAGATCACGACCGACCTCATCACCATAATCCAGAGCAATATCCAATACCATGGTCTTGAAGACGAGTCCGCAAGGGAGCAAATCAATATATTCTTCTAGTTGACGGATGGCTTGAAGATTAACGGGGTGCCTCAAAATGTTATTTGGTTGAGAATCTTTCCCTACTCCCTAAAGGCAAGGCATAAAGTTGGTTGAACAATAGGCCTCTGATCTCAATCACATCTTGGGACGACTTGTTAACCCAGTCCATGAATCGATATTTCCCGCCCTCCAAGATGGCCGAGTATCGGAAGAAGATCACCCACTTTGCTTAAGAGGATGATGAGACTATGAGAGTTTCTTGGGATCTCTACTCTGATCTCTTCCTACAATGTCCACACCATGCTTTTGGTGAGCAATTCCGGAGTGAGACCTTCTAGAATGGTCTCTTCCAGGAATATCGAACACTCATTGATTCGTTTTTCTAACAAGGAAATATGCTCAACAAAACTCCACCCCGAAGGACTTCATTATTTGAAGAATGGCCACACAAGGCTATGATTTGGGTATAAAAAGGCGTGGAATGAAGATTCGATAGAGGAGAGTGCATTCCACTGAAGCAAATCCTCCACTTGCAGCGATGGTTGATGAGTTAATCAAGGTGATCTTGCATGATAGGAAGCAGGTCAAGAGCTCAGTTATGGTTTGTGATTGGTGTTTGAGTCCCAACCATGAAGTAGAAGAATGTCAAATCATGAGGGAAGAGAGCACTCTAGCTAGGGGCTAATCCAAACAATAACCCATATAGCAATACATACAACCTTGGGTGGTGAAATCATCCCAAATTTGCATGGTTATCACCTCCCAATCTGAAACCACCCCATTTCCAAGGCCAACTGGAAATTATCAACCAAGACCTCCATTTGCTCAACAAATGCCACAATTCCACTCTTCAAACTTTCAACAACAACAATACCAACCATAAGGTGTGCAAGGGTTTCAACAACAAACCCGATAGGGTCACCAAGCTTGAAGATCGAGTCACAAACTTT